CAAAAAGCATGTAATGCCTTCCGCGTCCAATACAATAATGCCTTCAGAATGCTGTTGGGGCTCCCTCGTCATTGCAGCGCTTAAGCGGGTTGCGTCAGTTGAGCCGTGTGCGGGGTAGTCAAAGCGGGATTTTGAAGGTATTTGCTAATAAATATGATTGTACCATCCTGAAGTTCTGGGTGAACCTAATTATATGTAGGTAGGTAAATAAATTTTATTATTATCATCATTATTATTGTTAATTAACATAGTTGTAAGTACCCAATGTTACTAACAACTCTATGGATGCAATTATCTGAAATAAATGAATATTATTATTACTTACATATACCAATGATTTTATTATACCAACTTAGCTAAATACAACACGTATAGTATATTACACACACTTCATGGCTTTAATTTCATTTGTTTTTACAAATAAATTCTGAAATAAAGCCAGCCTGCCGCTCGATCCGAACAAAATTAACCGTACGGGAAAAAATTGAGTTCGAGTTGAAGTAGTATCGACTCTATATACTAAGACAGCCTTTGTCTATTCTATGTATTTTCATGGTCTTCACTTGTTTTCTATCCGAGTCGCCGGTCTCTAAGCTTTAAATATTTAAAAAATTATTATAAACCGCTTGTAGTAAGAAGTATGATCATCTGTCTGGAAACGTTTACGGTGCAGCGAGCCCGGAGAGTTTGTTGGCAAATTGCACTTGATCCGCCTTCCGTCGCAACGACCTCCCTAGATATGATTTCCGCTCCACTAGAAGTATATATCTACCGGTGTGCATCTATAATAATTATATACTATCCATTTTTTCGGATCTAAATCAAGTATATTTCTGCTCTCCTAGTACTTGCATTTTGCTTATATTCGAGATATTGGCATCTGATGGTTTTTTTCTTCGAAAAATGTCAATTGCGCTGATTTTGATTGTTAACAATAAAACGGAAACTAAACAAGATGTAAAAAACCGCTTATAGGAGATTGTAGAATAGAAGAAAAATAGAAAAAAATATGAAAATGTGGATTGCGTTAGTTATGATAAGTGCCTCTACCATGAGATTCGGTGACAATTCTCGCTAGCGACCGCGTAAAATATTTGTATACCAATAATGTTGTTTCTTCTTGTGACCGCTGCGGGCGCTGTATTATTTGCCATACAAAATTGTTAAGTAATGTACGCGGTCGCTAGCGACAACTGTCACGGCAATCTCATGGTAGAGACCCTGATAATATGAGGGCAGATTTGTTTTTCGAACGCGCCCAGTTTCGGTTTCTTTACGATGGTTACCTATAAACTAAAAAGTTTCATTTAAAATATGTAGCAGTTGCGAAAACCTAAGAAATACTAACTATTTTAAAACAGTAATTAAAACAATGTTTTTAAAATATTTGTTACTTGCATTTTTTCTTTTTATAATCCATGAAACGACTCCTAAAAGTTTGAACGCGAAATATTAAAAAGTACGCGGGAATTTTCGGGAGATTTCATAACAAATTCTTGAACAGGTAGAGCACCGTTTTATTTCAATTTTATGATATAAATTGTAGGTACTTGCATAAAACACCATGAATATGTATAACAGCCCTTTCAGCTTTATGAACAATGCAGCAATTTGAATTTAACTTATGAATTCATATCTCAGCTATTATCGTCGGAACTGGATTACATTTACATTTTAGATGCGAGGTGCATAGTTGTGTTGAATAGTCGAGAATTGTAATTTTCCGGTCAGATTGTCTAATCAAATCGTATAAGCTAACAAATGGCTGTTTTACAAGAAGAGCAGTCCAAATCAAAACTAGTAAATTTTTTACTTATTATACACTATGCTGTTTTGTAAATGTCCCAAATTTTATGGCGAATAGACACCGTGCATTTCATTGGTAATAATCACATTGGATTAATATACGACTCGTCGGCGTTGCCCGCTAGACACGCCTCACATGGTAAGGACCCTGTCTTACTGATAAATTGGGTGTTTTTGTGATAGCCTATATTCTAAAATGCCGTCGAAGAATGTTGAATGGCACGCATACGTACATATCACACTCCCACTTATAAGTGGTAGAACTGTCACTAATAAAATTAATAACCTTTGGCATATTATCGTGGTGTTGATCGACAAATTAATGATGCAAAACCGTCAATTACGAAGTCGACGGCGGTAAACAGGTGGCTGGTTTAGTATGCGCGGATGGGCTATGGTCTGTTTTTGCGGCGCAGGGAACAATGGCCGCCGGCGCATTCCTCCGACGTCACCGTTACCCGTCGGCAGTAATCGCCGCAATGATCGCCGGACCTGCTCCCGCCTCCGATAAAGATAACTAATAAACATTCATCGTCACTTCCGCGCTGTCCTGCGATGAATGTACCACGGAACCCAACAATCGCCTTTCTCCTTTGTCCATTGTCCGCTTGTCAGTTTAGTCCCGAATAGACCACTCACTGTAAACATAGCACAGCGCTAATTAAACTAGGTAATTAAGATCGATACGATAAAAACCTATTTTCGAGACTGTAGCTGCGAGGAATTTTTAACTCTATTATTTATTTCCTGAAATTTCATTAGGTTTTAAAACTCAACGTCGCATGTGGCATATCAATTTGATTTTTAAAGACTTGCGCCAGCGTTAAACTCGGGTCGTAGACGGGGCGCGGTTGGCTGGGAGCCAGGCCAAACAGGGTAAAAAGCAAGGGCGGCGGCGACGACCGCGCCCCGAAATAGCGAGCAAAGTCAAGGCGTGTGCCCGCACCAGCGGGCGCGTCGTCCGCAGATAGACACCACCGGCCGGCCGGTACATCGGTGTGTGGCCGCAACGGCACGACAGCATTATACTTAGCCAACACTCATTTATTACGTCTATTAAAGTCCAACCAACTTATCTATACTTTCGATTTTAGCGCTGCCTTCAAACGTTACTAACATTTCCAAACGTAAACACTACTGTGGAGATTTCCCATCAGAATATATAAATTTGTAATGTGTAGACACTCCCCATAAAGCTTTGCTTCTGGGCGTGGATAGCAAATAGTCATGAAAACGCCAACTGGCTCGTTAGCCAAAGACAATATTGTGATCGCACCTATTTACACCCTTGTGCCAATGACGCAATGGCGCCATCAAACATGGGAATAACACGCGAATTGACCTTAATTTTATTTAACTTGGTATTACATTTCAATTTCCATTAAATTATGTAATACGTTCAATTAAGTATTTATAATTAAAAACACAAAAGACACACAATTTCATAATTTACTAACACAATTGGTATGACCAGTGGCGAGGGGTCCATATAACGCCACCGCCTTGCCTAAAATTTTCCACGTATCATCAAATATCATAAATATTTTAAAATAATTTACTACATTTTGTGTTTCATTTTTAATTTACGTGTACAACAAAATTAACCAGTGAAAAAAAGTGTACTAGTATCTTGTGTGCTAATAAGTTTCTTAAGGCAAGTGTTTTTTTTTGCTCCGGCTTTACTAAACACAATTTTCACGCCTCGCTACTGATATGTACATTCTAAAACTGGTACATTTTATACAGACTAGAGTACAACAATCCCTTACAAAACATCGTCAGATAAATTTGTAAAGCTTGTAGCCTCCATTAATGTGATCTTTTGAATAGGCACAAAAACAGAATTGCTAGAAATAATATTATAATGTATGATTGTACCTTTATTTCATAACCAAAAAAGGGTATAATAGAAACTATATTTACACTTTAATTGCCCGATCTTGCGCCTGAAAAGTAAAAAAGGGATTTCGCCCAAAAACAGAGTTGCGAAGTTTTCAAATTTAGCTGAATTATATTAAAGTAATCTATACTGTAAATTTGAAACGTATGTGGTTTTGATGAATTGTACCAGAAATATAGACTCATGTTGAAAGTAGAAATACAAAATGTTGCCATAATCTGGGTCTAATCGACATCGGTTCACGTCATCAGGTTGGAACATTGCTCTGGTTGAAAAGATACATTTCTTCAAATGTAGGTCTTTAAAGGATTAGTAGAAAAAGACATTCAAAGGGTGAATATGAACACAGACTCTGAATCGAAACATTTTAATAGAAGTGATCATCTAAACAAGCTGAAGACGCACCTCACATTCTCAAACAGGTCACAATAGCGGCACTGCAGTGAGTCATAGAAAGTCCAAGACTGAACAAGGACATCATAACAGCCATCGCAAATGTAACAAAAACATCATTACTCCATATCCGTCGGCACTATTCTCCATTGTGTCACGCAACAAATTGCACACATAATAGACTTTGCAACACTTCAATCTTGACTTGGATGATACTGATTCGTTCTTAGGATTAAAGATAACAATAGGAAATTAATCTTCAAGGCTTTATTTCGGCTGAAAATTAAATGCCTGTTAGATGACGTAACGTGCTGTAATTAGGCGATTGTAACACTGCTCCGCGCCACCCAATGGTATGCGGAGCTGCGTTTTTTAACGTTGTACTGAAGTATCTCAATTTGTATAGAAAGCACGTACCGTACAACACACTGACAACGTGTCTCCGCGCGGAAGTGCGGGGCGCATGATCCGTCATCTCACGCACTCTGCCTGCGTACAATGCAATATTTTCAATCGAATGTTCATAGCATATGTTAATAGCATTGGAATGCTTGTTATCTACAACAACGGCGTGGAGAAGCGTTGTTCTTCAGCTACCAACAGGATTTCGTTATTTTGACTTCTCCAGGCAGCTTAGTTGCTGATACCCGCTTTTCTCCTTCTGCTCTGATACATCCTATCACTTACGGAATCAACTTGTGACAACTTTCTCAATATCTCTACTATATCATATCAATATATGTACATCGTAGAAAGTTTATTCTCTGAAATTTAATTTTCGGAATTTAATTACCTAGGAATCAAAGCTGGGAAATAATCTTGTAGGATTAGGAATAAATGCTTTCATTCTTTAGATTATTGAAGCACACATCAATAACGCATTTTTCTTTTGTGGAAACAGATGACTTGAAGGCGGTGACGAAGCGGCTGGTGTTGCAAGCCAAGCGGCAAGGTTCCGCAGACAATATCTCCATCATCGTGGTGTTCCTCAAGGACCCGCGAGACATCGCAGTCGACAACAGCCCGCCCATGGATCTTGGGTAAGACATATACTCCGTATGAGATGTTTTTCGAAATATAATAATCAGACTCCGTACCGTTCTTTTTTATTACACTGGAATGCAAATTAAAAACAGTACTAGGTATTGTAAATACATTGAAAATTATATCCTTCTGTTTACTTCACTCACCAACACATGGGCGAAACTACAAAAAAATCATCAAGATCGTCAAACTCATTGGAATCAACAATATTGTATAAGTGGATGATGTTACGCATTTCCGCTTCAGCTAAGGTGAATGACTCTCGTTTGATAGTGCGATGTTAATTTCAGAAATAATACATAATTTTAGTATCATATCGAAGTATTTTACATTAAGACTTCAAGTGGTATGTTACGATCCAATTTTAATATGAAAAAATGCCATTGGGGAACGATAAAGGTTTTCACGAACAAGTGGCGCACTGACGCCTCGATATAGGTATAACGAAACATTCAAAAATCGGCCTTAATAACTTTTTCATTAAGTACTATTTACAAGACAAATTGTACAAGAAGGCATCATGCTCTATTTTTTCCCCTTTGGTGTTTTGAATTTTGAGCAGGTTTGTAATTGCCAAACTATGTATGCCAAACGTGGCAATTATAGCCTAATATTGATGAAAGTCTATGCCAGGTAGGCAATCGTAAAAAAACCACACATCGGTGACCTATGCCAAATAATATATTACTTTTGAAATATACCGGTTTTGAAAGAGTGGGTGATAAAATGACATCATATTGCCATTCGACCTTGGTAGCTGGTTAAAACTGGAATCCTATCTAAAATAACAGAAAGTTTGTTTAAAATAAGCATTTTTCTGTCATGAACGTTTAATATACTCTAGTGACATGCGACGGTTTTTTAGATGTATCTTAAAATGTATTGAGTCACAGCCCACCACGCTGATTGTCTTCACTTCTCTTCGAAGTGTTTCGTGACTATTCGGCGATATGCACATTTCCTCCAGACGTTTTACGTCTCTATTAATCAACTGATTGATAGTCCGTAACAATAAACACAGAAAAAAAGGATTTCTACTAATAAGAAAGAGCAATTTCTCAAAATATTTGCTAATTCTGAAAAAAATATTTATTAAAAGTAATAAAATATTGTCATTACGAAAATACTGCTTATCTTTTTCTAATACAATTTTACTTTTAACTTTATTCTAACTTTTAGACAAATACGTTCACTTCAAGATTTTATTTCATTTCTAATCAATTCATTGGACATTACTTACATCAAGAAATTTTTACCTCTTACATCAAATTTAAATAATCTTAAATGAATTCAAAATTTATTGGGTGTATTTTAAGAAAATATATTCTTAAACAAAAGAAGAAGTAGTTTGCTATTCACATTAATATTCTAAATTCTAGAGTACATTCTTAAAGCAACATTTCGTTGCGTTTTCATAGTCAATGTTGTCGTGACATATCGCCGAAGGCGTACGCGGGGTAACCATTGACTTATAATTGTAAGTCAATGGCGGTAACGATTACTTTTACTTGTGCCTGTAATCATAAAAATCATAAACAGTCATTTATCCAAAGAAACAATACGTAGTATCTCTAGTTTGTTAGTGTGTTGTTTCTAGTAATCATTTAAGAAATTTTGTTTGAGCACAAGCACAACTTTAATATGCAATTAGTTCCATCACGCCACTGCTAGATGGCATTAGTTGTACTCTGAAACGCGCTATCGTTTTGTTAACTTCAATAATATAAGTCATTTCATATATTTCGTATTGTTAGTGCTTTCTGCCGCTGTAGCGTTTATATGACACTGATCGGCACTCAAGTATTTGAGAAAGTAGTCCTATTTCTGCTACATTAATATTTGGCATTAAACTGTGGGCTTTCGCGCCAGTGAGACATACTGCTGGGTCCATAACCCTGTAAATTTACCCTTTTTGATATTAGAAAACATAAATCTTCAGTCAAGTAATTAAGTACCTCTCAATTTTTCATTCTTTTTTTTTCAAGTCAAAATCGGACATTTCTAATAACTAATAAATAATAGGGGTTAAAGTATGAAATTGCCGATTTGTACTGAA